TTTTGAGAAAGGTCTTTCACTAAATTGCCCAGGCTGCCTCAAACTTGCAATTCTCCGGCTTGCACCTCCCAAGTAGTTGGGATTACAGGTGTATGCCCCCAGACCCAGTTCAGTTTGTGGAATTTTATAGGACTTTGGAGAGAAGGGCAACAATATGAATTAGAGGATGGGGGCGGGGGTATCTGACAGATTTATGAAGTATGTGAAAAGGACAAAGCTTGAGTTTTCAATTACCTCATGATAACTTCCTTAAGAGGTCCTTAAAATGAACTAGATGACCAACTGTTCTCCATCTCTACTGAGGGAAGACCAAGAAAAAAAAATGGACTGGACTGAAATTAAAAAAAACAAAACAAAACGATTCTGGTTAGATCAGGGGATTTTTAAACTTTTAACTATGAAACTCTGTAAATAAAGCAAAACCTGGGAGGCCAAAATACAAAACAGAAAAAAAAAAAATGGAAAAAGGAAGCCTGGGAGGCATATTCTGTAGCCAAGATAGTCTTTCTCCCCCTCAGATGGGTTGCCAAAGCAGTTTGAAAACCACTTCCTTTAGATCAGGGATCTGCAAACTATACACAGTTTACGTGGCCCATGAGCTAAAAAAGGCTTTTCCATTTTTTAATGGCTGGAAATTAAAGGAATAGTGTTGTATAATATGTGAAAATTAAATTCAATTTACGTTTCAGTGTCCATAAATAAAGTTCTATTGGAACATAGTCACGCTCATTTGTTTTGGTATCACAATGCTGCTTTGGCATTACAATGATGGAATTAAGTAAGTAGTCCCAACAGAGATCATGTGGTCTGTGAAGCCTAAAATATGTACTGGTTCTTTGCAAAACCAATCTTTGGTTTATTTTACTCTTGCAGTACTGAGGATTGAACCTAAGGCCTCATATATACTAGACAAGTGCTCTACCATTAAGATACACCACAACCCCAACCCCTAGTTTAGGTGAAAGAAAAGGTTTCATGATTGGGTTTTTAACATTGGCGATCTGTGATCAACAGAATTTATATGGTTTCTACTTTTAGAAGGCATTAAAATTTGCTAGACTGTGGTTTAATGGAGGTCCTGCTTGTATGGTAGAGAAATGACCAGGATCAACTCAACTCTCAGGATCCCTGAAAGTCCCTCCCTTCCAAGCCTGGAGGATGTGGTTTTACCCTCGGGCTCCAGCCAGTCGCCTACAGATGGCTAAAGGGAAGAAGGAGGCAATTACCTGGCAGTGTGCCAGCCTCACCCCACCCCCACCTCCCCCTTTTTGGAGCCTGAAATTCCTGGCAGTAAAAGAAAGGATTTCCTCCAGAACACAATTACAGTAATGCTCTGGCTAGCCAGTCCCTAGTTTTCACAGGGTGGGAAAACATCTGTGATTTGGAAAGGGAGAAGAAAACCCAATCACAAGAATTGATGAGAAATGAAGGCAAACTCTGAGGAAGAATGTGAGAAAAAGAAAAGCACATCTAGAGCACGTAGAGAATGAAGAGCAAAGTCATAAATATCTATTTGTGCTTTCCTTTCAATCATTACAGATCGTGTAAGATCAAATCAGGTCATTTGCATTAATTCCAATCAGCATTGCATAACATAATATTTCTTCAACAAATTAAACAGGTGGGAGCTGCAGTTGTAATTCTGTCACCATAACTCTTCTGAGATTACAGTTCTTCTGCTATAAAATGAAGATGAGGCATTAATTAATAAGTGATGTTTTGGCCTGAGGTATAAAGAATAATAATTGGAAGCTTATGAACTATGTACAGAGAACTGATGCAACTCAAAGAATTTGTCCATTCATACTTCTCTTCCAACTAAGTTTCTTACTGGAAAAACCCTACTGATAACATTGTTGAAACCACAAAACTAAACTACAAAAAAAAAAAAAGAAAAGAAAAGAAAAAAAATGCCTCTTAGATGGGCTCAGTGACATGTGCTTGCAGTTCAGCCTAAAGAGGCTGAGGCAGGAGAATTGCTTGAGCTAAGGAATTTGAGGGCAGCCTAGGCAAACTAGTGAGAACACATCTTGAAAACCAGCCAGGTGCAGTAGCACATACCTATAATCCCAGAAGCTCGGAAGGCTGAGGCAGGAGTATCTAAAGTTCAAAGCCAGCCTCAGCAATTTAGTGAGGCCCTGAGCAACTTAGAGAGATCCTGTCTCAAAATAAAAAATAAAAACGGGCTGGAGATGTGACTCAGTGATTAAGCACCCCCTCTCTCAATCCCTGGTACCTCTGCTCCCCCCCCCCCGCAAAAAAAAGAAAACAACAACAAATTCCCTCATGAACTCTGCAGGCAAAAAACAAACAAGCAATAATAAGATGAACAGCCAGCATCACTGCCTATAGCTTTGTTTATTTTTTTAATTTTTTTTTGCTGTTGGGAATTTTTTTTTTTTTTTTTAGAGAGAGAGAGAGAATTTTAAATTTATTTTTTAGTTTTCGGCAGACACAACATCTGTTTGTATGTGGTGCTGAGGATCGAACCCGGGTCACACACATGGCAGGCGAGCGCGCTACCGCTTGAGCCACATCCCCAACCCCATGCTGTTGGGAATTAAACCCAGGAATGCTTTACCACTGAACTATATCCCCAGACTATTTTTTAAAAATATTTTTAGTTGTAGATGGTCACAATACCTTTATCTTATTTATTTTTTACGTGGTGCTAAGGGTGGAACCCAATGCTTCACGTGTGATAGGCAAGTGTTCTACACTGAGCCACAAACCCAGCCCCTGACTTTTTATTTTTATTTATTTTTTTTTTACATTTGAGATAAGTTCTTGTTAAGTTGTTTAGGCTGGCCTTTAACTAGCAATCCTTCTGCCTCAGCCTCCCAGGTTGCTGGAATTATACCACGTGCCTGGCTAGTTTATGTTTTTGTCTTTTTTTTTTTTTAATGAAAATGTGAGACAATGACACAGGCATTTTTTTTTTTTAATGAAACTATGGAAGGGAACAAAGAACAAAAATCTTACCACCCTCTGATTTCCAAACCTCAAATCCCTGTCTCCAAAGGTGGCAAATGTTAATAGTTTCTTGTACACAGGTCATAGGGATAGGGGTACATACACATTGCTATGGTTTGGATATGGGTGAGTGTATGACTGAAAGATTCACATGGTGGTCAGTGTGGCAATGTTGAAGAAACAATTTTAAGGCAGTCCTCTTGGGTTAATTCTTTCAAGAGGGGTTGTAGTAAAAATGCAAGATCCTCCCCACCCTCTGGCTTCCTGTTTATGTGATCACTATTTATCTACACACTCCTGCCATGATTCCATCTGCCACGAGGCTCTCATCATAAACCAAACTAGTAGGGCCATCCACTTTAACTTCAGCTTCCAAATCTGTAAGTTAAATAAACTTATTTTCTTTATAAGTGTTCAGCTTTTGGCATTTTGCTGTAGTAATGGAAGACAAATTAGTACACATATCTTTCAAAATACTTTACAGGGCTGGGGTTGTGGCTCAGTGGTAGAGTGCTTGCCTAGCATGTATGAGGCACTGGGTTCGATCCTCAGCACCACATAAAAATAAAGATATTATGTCCACCTAAAACTAAAAAATCAATACTAAAAAATGTTTTAAAAAAAAATATTTTACAAACTAGTTCCACACTGTTCTCTGCACTTTGCTTTTCCCACTATAATAGTTCATCTAGGAGATCCATTTGTATTTTAATGGCTAAATTAAAAAAAATATATTTTAATACCTTTATTTCACTTATTTATTTTTATGTGGTGCTGAGGATTGAACCCAGAGTCTCGCACGTGCAAGGAGACCAATCTACCACTGAGCCACAGACCCAGCCCCTAAACTTGTTTTTTATACTTTTATTTTACTGATTTATATGTGGTGCTGAGGACCGACCCAGGGCCCGGCATGTGCTAGGCAAGCGCTCTACCACTGAGCCACAACTCCAGTCCCTTAATGGCTAAACTTTTTAGTCATAAGATGAACTACTAGCCATATTTATGGGATATTATAGTTGTTTCTGGTTTGTTTTGCTATTATAAACAAGTGCTTTAATGACTTGCTTGATTATATACGTACAAAACTAGCAGTAGCATTGCTTGGTTGGTATTTTTACTTTTCATAGCTATTAGGTAAATATTCTCCCTTCAAGCCTCAGTACTGCTGAGAAAAAAAAAAGAAAGAAAGAAAAAGAAAAAAAAGAAATATTCTCCCAGTGCTCTGGACAACAAAGAGTATTATTTATTTGGCAATTTAACAAAGTATAACTTTTCTTACATTCTTTGATCATTCATCTATGTATACTTTTTATCCTAGAACTGCCTGTTACTTTCTTTCATCTTAATTTTCTTAATCTCTTTACATAGTAAAGAAAATATTTCTTATATTTTGACTATCCCACAGTATTTTTGCTAACCAAGAAGTATTTTTCCTACACAATTTTTTTTTTTAAATGTCTGTGATACTAGGGACTAACCCAGGGGCATTCTATCACTGAGCTACATCCCTAGCCCTGTTTTTTAAAAAAATATTTTGAGATAGGGCCTCACAAATTGCAGAGGCTGGCTTTCAACTGCGATTTTTCTTCCTCAGCCTCCTGAGCCACTGGGATTACAGGCATGTGCCACTGCGCCTAGCCCTAGCCCTTTAATTTTTTAATTTTAAGACAGGGTCTTGCCAAGTTGTCGAGGTTGGCCTTGAATTTGCAATCCTCTTGCCTCAGACTCTCTAGATAATGGAATATGCCATGTGGCAGGTGCTGCTATGCCTGGCTATCCAAAAGTTTTAATATAGTCAATTTTATTAATCTTTTTATTTCTTCTTCCTTTTGTATTTATTTTGTGAAACCAAACCTAGGACTTCATACATGCTAGGCAAATACTCTATCACTGAATTTTTTCCTGTTTTCTGAATTTCTTTTCTTTTTTTTTTTTTTTTTTCACATCACCAGAGGCAACTGCAGGGCCTCTGCTCTGCTTTATTGACTTTAGAGCATATTTGGATACAGTTTAAAAAAAAAGAAAAGAAACACATACATACACAATGGAAACTGGGAATCCAGGCTGGTGTCACCTGATCCCAGAAGAATTCCCCAAAGTAGGTTTATACAAAATGCTAGAGGAAAAAAATGAGGCAATGTGGTGCTTAGTCCAGGGGTGGCCAGTTGACAGAGGAACAGTCAGTGACAGTGCTGGTGGGTCATGCCTCTTTCTCGTAAGTGCGAGTGCACACTACACTGCCACGGGTGAGTGTCAAGATGAGTTTCCCATCATTTAGCTCCCGCACAAGTGTAGTTTCTTGCCCGTCCCACTTCTGCACGTGGACAAGTTTTCCTCCATCCAGCGTCACAGTGGACTTGACCTTCCTGTCATCTGCTATAGTCTCATCAAACTCCTTCCCCAGATGAAAACTGATCTCCGTGTTCTTGAAGGTGCTCTGTGTTTTTAAGATGATGGTGTCCCACCCACTTGAATCAAAGTGTGGAATATGATATGTCAAGAAATTTGTAATGTTTTGAACAACCCACAATAAAAAATTAAAAAAAAAAAAAAAGATGATGGTGTCCCCATTCTTTTCCAAGATTGTAGTGGGCTTGGTCATGCTGGCCACTTGCCTGGTAGCAAAGCCCACACCAAGTGACTTCATGTAGTCATTGAAATTCTTGCTGTCCACTAGTTTCCAGGTGTCCATGAAGGCGTCCACCATGGTGAGGCTGGGCTAGGCTGAGAAGCAAGCTGCGAGAAGAAGCTTGTAGACTCCGGGACGGCCCTGTTTTCTGAATTTCATGTTGTGCTTTCTCACCCCATAATTATAATTTTCTCTCTCCCTCTGAAGACCTTAATGATTTAATTATTAAGTTTTGTTCCTTGGGCTTTTAAAATTGGGTTTGAATTTTTTCTTTGCTACACTTTTGGGGGCACTGATGAATTGAACCCAGGGCTTTGTGCCTGCCCTCTATCACTGAACTACAACCCAACCCTGCTTTGCTACATTAATTCTAAGTGTAAAACAAACAAAAACAGACAAAAATATTTTTGAGTGCATGACAGGAAAATATATTTGATTCAACAACAACTTTTTTTCTTTTGTTGTTAATACTGGGGATTTAACTCAGGGGCACTCAATCACTGAGCCACATCCTTAGCCCTATTTTGTATTTTATTTAGAGACAGGGTCTCACTGAGTTGCTTAGTGCCTTGCTGTTCTGAGGCTGACTTTGAACTTGTCATCCTCCTATCTCAGCCTCCTGAGCCGTTGGGATTACAGGCTTGCTCCAATTTGACTTTTTAAAAACTATGTGGGCCAACATTTTATAAAGCAAATAAAAATATTTTTGTACACAAATCTGGACCCAAAGTAGGCAGTTTACAATCTCTGATCCATGAACTCAAGAATCCTAATTTTCCTTCTCATCTTTGAAAATGTGACTGTTAAAAAAGATTTAGTTTAAGATGGTGGGGCTGGGGATGTGGCTCAAGCGGTAGCGCGCTCACCAGGCATGCGTGCGGCCTGGGTTCAATCCTCAGCACCACATACAAACAAAGATGTTGTGTCCCCGAAAACTAAAAAATAAATATTAAAAAAAAAGATGGTGTATGACAGTTACAATGCTCCTAAAACAATCCAAAATGTCTTAGGTTGAATTATGTAAAATTACCATGTTTATAGGTCAAAAGTAGTCAAACATTGACAATTTCACATAGTTCAACCTAATGTAAGTGGAACAAACGTAGCAAAAGTCTAAGTTGGATGCTCCTGATCTGTGAGGAGCTCTTCTCCATACTACTGTTGATTCAGGACCCCAGGCTTCTTCTTTTTTTTTTTTTTTTTTTTGGTACCAGGGATTAAACTCAGGGGCACTAGACCACTGCCCTATTTTGTGTTTTATTTATACAGACAGAGTCTCACTGAGTTGCTGAGCACCTCGCCACTGCTGAGGCTGGCTTTGAATTTGCAAGTCTCCTGTCTCAGCCTCCCGGGCTGCTGGGATTACAGGTGTGTGTCATCGCACCCGGCTTCTTCTATCTTGTATCTTCTTTGACAGTATCTCCAAAGTCACTGTGTCTGCAAGGGCCAGCATCTGAAGATTGAGACTTAAGGAGTGTAATTTTTTTTTTTTTTTTTTTTATGAAACAGACCTTAAGTGATGAGCATGGCTGCCACCCATTACCATCCCATTGGTTAGAATTCATCGACAGGGCCACATCTAACTGCAAGGCTGAGGAATAGTGTAGGTGTATGCCCAGAAATAAAGAAAATGAGTATAATAAACAGGTGGCTGCTAGATACCACACAAATTGACCTAATTCCTGTTATGATTTAAATATTAGGTATCCCTCAAAAGCTCATGTGTGAAACTATGCAAGAAAATTGCATGAAATGATTGAGTTATGAGAGCCTTAGCCTAATTGGTGCATTAATCCACTTCAATGGATTAACTAGGTGGTAACTGTAGGCAGGTAGGGTGTGGCTGGAGGAAGTGGGTCTCTGGGGACATGCTTTTGATATATATATTCTGTCCCTGGAGAGAAGAGTCTCTCTCTCTCTCTGCTTCCTGGTTTCATGTCCTGAGCTGCTTTCCACCATATGTTCAACCTCACCTTAGGCCCAGAGCAATGGAGTTGGTAGTTTATGTACTGAGATCTCTGAAACCATGAACTCCAAATATACTTTTCCTCCTCAAAAATTGTTCTTATTAGGTCTTTTGGTCACGATGACCACCCCCGCCCCCACCAAAAAAAAAACCTGACTAAAACATACTCCCATTGACTTCTCCCCTGGAATCTTTAACGCTTGCATTTTCCTGTTTTCTAAGTAGAACAGAGATTGAATAATAATAATACTTAAGTGTTCAGTTTATAAGGAACTTTAAAAAAACATATTTTCAGCTGTAGATGAACACAATATCTTTATTTACTGATTTTAAAATATTTTTTAGTTAGTTGTAGATGAACAATATCTTTATTTTTACTATTTTTTTATATGGTGCTGCAAATTTTAAAAAAATTATTTTTTTATATGGTGCCTGCCTCACACAGGCTAGGCAAGCATGCTACCATTAAGCCACAATCCCAACCCTATAAGGAACTTTTGCATAAATGATGTTTCCTGGATAAACAGAAATTTATGTCTGCTTTACAGATAGGGAAATGAGAGGGCACAGGTTGACTTGTTTAAGGACACAAATTAATAGATGGTGAAATCAGTTCATGACAATAGCAAGGACATTCCATAGCGACTTTTGGTTTATGCAGCACTTTAACATGTACTATTTTCTTTGACCACTAGTGCAGGGCTCTTTCCTTTCTGACAGTCATCTTGTGGCCTCTCCATCATGCTCAGTTGGTTATTAGCTTGTTGCTGGCCCAGCAGATTTTAAGATATAAATAGATGCACTTGTTGTCTGCTTGATTCTTTTCCTGGAGTCAGACACATTTAACCCTGCTAGGAACCAAGGCGTTCCCTTCTTGGCTCAGGTTAAAAAGGTAGCTTTATAAGGCCCCAAGAATGCACCTGATGGGCTCCCTTCATTTTTATGGCACAGAAAAGCTCTCCAGGTCAGTACCAAATTGCCAGAGCTCCAGGGACAAGTTTGGGGTGGGGAGATGGAGTACAATGTGTTGCTGCTGTATTTCCAGCTCTATTACCTGGCATGGCTCTCTTCTGCTCTCTAATTTTAAATGTGTAGTATCTTGTGGCTAGAAGAGAGGGGAGAAGGAGGTTTCTTTTCCATAACAGAACTTACACTTCATAGCGTTTGTCTGCTTTGCATAATTTCATAATTCTTATCTTTACTTGAGATCTCTATCTGCTGCTTCCCTGCTTTCCTCCTTCCTCAAGAAGGGCTTAAATGAGAACATGTCTACTCATTAGGATGGCTGGAGGTCTGAGGTTCATTCTGGGAACTCCCTATAGGCGAAATTGCTCCAGTTCTCCCTGCTATCTAATGAGTGCCTGGCCCAGTGAGTGTCCCAAATACTTGTTGGCCAAGAATGTCATAAAGACCTTGGAAGTTTTCGAAGAACTCAGAATTAAAGCAAAATAAATACCATGTTTTTGCTTTTTAAAATCAGATTTTTATTATGATCATTTAAAGTATACAGAAAAAAATGAATAGTATGAATTCCATATACCCAAATGCCACATATTTCAACAATTGTTTTCCATTTTTTTGGGGGGGTACTGGGGATTAAACTTGGGGGCTCTCAACCACTGAGCTACATCCTCAGCCCTATTTTTTATTTAGAGAAAGGGTCTCACTGAATTGCTTAGCGCCTTTCTTTTGCTGAGGCTGGTTTTGAACCTATCTCAGCCTCCTGAGCCACTGGGAATACAGGTTGCTTGCCATATTTGCTTCATCTATTTATATATTCATCAATTTTGCCGAACCATTAGAAAATAAATGATTGACAACAGGGTATTTCTCTCCAACAGAATGCATCTTTAAAAACTAAGAACATTCTCCCAATTGTCACAGTACCATTACCACATACAAAACAAGTTAACTAACTTCCTGAAATCAATCAACATGGTTTAAATTAAAATTTCCCTGTCTCATGCTGGTGTTGTACCTCAGTGGTAGAGCACTTGCCTAGCATGCATGAGGCACTGGGTCTGATCCCTAGCACCACATAAATTAAAAAAAAAATAAAATAAAGGTATCGTGTCTAACTACAACTTAAAAATTTTTAAAACAAAAAAAAAACTTGCCTTGTCCAAGCTTTTGTTTTTTGGAACCAGAGTAAATAAAGGTTCACAAATTGCATTTGACTCTGTCAAGTTCCTTTTTAATCCAAAGCAGGAGTCAGAAAATCTTTCCTATAAAGGACCATATAGTAAAGATTTTAGGCTTTATGAGCTATATGTCTTCATAAATACTAAATTCTGCTGTGGAAACACAAGCCAGACATATAGCTATAGATACTTCTGAAGTGAATGGGCATGGCTATGTAGTATTAAAAATTTATTTGTAAAAGTTGGCTTTGCCTAGATTTGGACCTCAGATTGTACTTTGCCCACCTGATATAGAAAAGCCCCTCTTCCCCACATTATTTCTTTTTAAATATATATATATTTTTAATTTGAATTCAGGATGGGTGTGGTGGTGCACACCTGTTAATCCCAGATATTCAGGATGCTGAGGCAGTAAAATGGCAAGTTTGAGGGCAGCCTGGACAGTTTAGGAAGACAGTCTCAAAATAAAATTTAAAAAGGACTGAGGATGTAGTTCTGCAGTAGAGTACTTGCTTACCTTTTGTGAGATCCTGGGTTCAATCACCAATACCGAAAAAAAAAATTATTATTACTTTTTTTTCTAAGCAATATATACACTAATAATGACATAATGAAACCAGTAGTCCTATATCCTCCACACCCCCCTTAATTCTGAAGCAGCAATCATAATGAAATTCTTTTGTAGCCTGTCCCCATTTTAATGTTACATATTCTGATCTGATTGCTTTCTGGGATTCCAATAGATGGATTCAAATGTTCAATTAAATGTGTAAAAAAAATTATATTGGGGATTGGTCTCAGGGCTTCTCACAGACTGGAAAGCTCTGTACCACTGAGCTACATCTCCAAGGCCCTTTTGAGATAGGTTCTCACTAAGTTGCCCAGGCTGGCCTCAAACTTGCAATCCTGCCTCACCCTCCCAAATTGCTGGAATTACGGGCATGTACCACCATGCCCAGCCAACACTTTTTATAAGACAAACTATTTTCTCCATATTGCTAA